CTATCATTTTTAACAAATGTTGATCAATAAGATTTTACAATAAAGAGGCATGAAAGTTTGTGTCATATCCAGTTGTTCTGAAGAATTGAATTAGTTGGTCCTATAAGCACTACATAATCAAAATAAAGAAAATGTTTATACACGCTTTTAACAGAGATTGGCAAAATGGTAGCAATGCCACAATAATCTCAGGATACCTACATGGGGCTCAGAGAAATCTTTGGTAAGCAAACCAATACCACTGTCAGTATAGAAGTTGGTTTTTAGTGACTTGTTGCCAAGCTCCCTCTTTGAAGTAGCTGTTGCCCTCTGTCTTAATCACAAGTATGTATCTGTGCATATACATTTGTATAGAAGTCTAGTCTGAAATATTTCACTAGAATGAATGTAGTGCTAGCTTTCCAAATAAAAAATGATCAGCAAAAGGATCTGTTCTCATTCCTGATATTTTGAAACAATAAAAACATCCTAAGTCATCAAAATAGAAATATTAGACGGGTTTTTTTGTTGTTGTTCTAGGCCCAAGTTTAAGTGTGACCGGGCTTTCCAAAAAATATAAGTTCTGGAATGTTAAATGTGAAGCCAGATACTGTAGCTCTTTTGCCCCTTGACATGTGAGAATAAATTATATGTAAAAAGAGGCTGCAGAATCGTACTAGGCCTTGTCCTTAAGACTGCCTAGCACTATTTCCTAGCATCACTGTATAAGGTATGGGCATCCACAAAGAAGATCCAATGCATGGAAACTCTCCCTGCACTCTGGAACCTTGACCATGCAACAGCCAAGATACACCCCAAATAGTTGGGTTTTTTCCCTTCCTACTTCAGCATTGCTTTATCCTGTGTGATGCTATCTAAACAGAGTTTGTGAAAACAGAGTAGCTGAACTTAGTTGCAAAGACCTCTCTTGGGGTGGATAATGCATATCTCTGTTTATGTAATTAAATCAGGGAGCAAGGGTCTGCTGTTGTATTGGGCTGATGGGATTCTGCTGGTGTCCTCTTTCAAGGAAAAGACTGAATTTAATAAACCTTTGGATTGGCTCACATTTTCTCATGCCTTTGCCTTAATACATTGCTGTTGATAATTTTAGGGTATTTTGTTTATGTAATGTTAAAATTCCTTTATAAAGCAGCTGTCTGGAAACTGAGATGAACGCTTTAATTCACTTTTAATAAAAGATCAATGGGTTTATTGTGGAAAAATAGAACACAGATGTACACTGTACCTGATAAAAGAATTAAATGTGTGTTTAACCTTCTCTGTTTGTTTTGTGCTACTGGTACTTGACCTCCTTTGTTTTTTTGGAACTATTATCTTTCTCTGGAGCTTTTACTTTTCATATTTGGCTTAGTCTGTAAAAACAAACCCCACTAACATACCCTCATCTCAAATACTCACCAAATCCTTTAGATTTTCCAAAATATTTTAAAAGTAAATCTTCAGACTTAAGTTTCATTAAAATCTTTGGCCTTGTATTGGAACAGAAGTCCAGAGATGCTTTTAGCGCAGGAACTAGAATACAAAGGCTGGCAAAGTGAGAATACTTCAATTAAAGACACCTTAAGGCAGAACTGCCAAGTTTGCTTCCAGAAGTTTCCAATTAAATATCCAGCCATGCCTGAATGAATGTCATATGTAAGGTTTTCTTTCAGTGTATCTTTTACAAGAGGAAACTAGTGACGAGAGGTTGGTTGAATGTCTTTTTGGCTGAAGACTAAAAAAGAGAAATAAAGAAGAGACAAAATAATTAATACAGCTAAAATTTGCCTCTAGAATAAATCTGTGTGAGATATTCTTCCTCTTCATCGGGAATATTTTGTCGTCTTTGTCTCCTCATAGTGGAATGTGTGGGATGAAACAAAAACTAATGCAAATGTTTTGCATACTTCAAAAGAGCCATTTAGAAAGAGACAATTTTATAGTCAGAGGATATCTCATAAACAGTAAGATGCACACATTATGCCAGATAATTGTGGAGACATGGTGTTCTGTTTCCATTCTGCTGCTTGGCCACATGATAAGCTGTTCCGTCTGCCAAAAGCAGAATTGTGATTTGGTGCACCACTATGATTTTCTCTAAGTGAACACATATGGACCGAGTGTCACATAAAGAGGAGTTTTATGATTGTCATCACAAATTGAAACCGTGGCAATGGGCCTTCAATGTAACATGACTTTATTTTCTATCATGAGAGAAAAGAATAGCTGAACTGTGGTCAGCAAGGCTTCTACCCCAGCCTCTTCCTCCAACTTGGTTCAGAGAACGGGTTTAATACCTATAAAAATTACAGTTCATTGTTGCTGAATGTAAGGCAAACTAATTTTTACTAACTATGGTTTGTTGAAATAAGCCAGCTGCATAAGCTACATTGTTACATCATAGCTAGATGTAATAAGAAGCTGTGGTTAAAGGTATGAATGAAAATTTTCATATCCATTATGATTTTGTGGGGATAATGAAAATAGCTTGTTTTTTTAATAGTATAAACATTGTTTAAATGTTAGTCTTCATGTGAAACCACCTGAAAAAAATTCCTAAAATGTAGAAAGCAAAATTTTCATTGATCAGATAAAAATGTAATAAATATGTTACTGATATTTTTCTTTGAAAAAATAATTTAACAGTTTAATGGGACTTAAAGTATTTCATGTGTTAAGTCCACATGTTCTTAATATGAAAATCTTAATATTAAAATATGATGATTGGCAGGTGATAGTTTCCTTCAATTCTTTTTCTTGTTTCTTTTCTTCCCCACTAGATATGTGGATATGGAATTCAAACCATATGTAAGGTCATTGCTTAATATTTGTTTGCATCTGCTGTAAAAATAGCCAGCTCTCCAGGGCCAAACTTAAATTAAAACTATTATAAAATACAGACAGTACTTGACTTATCATTATAATGGAGCCTGGAATTTTGGTCACAAGTCATTGTAATCAGTAGTTGGGTCATCACGTGGCCAGATTCAATTCTGCAACACTTTTTACGATGGTTGCTTTCGTAAAGTGAATTGTAATCATTAAATGAATATATCCAATGGGCATTTCTTGCCAGAAAATGACAAAACAGTTGCAAATCATGGTTACATAACTGCAGAACTCTGCAACTGATCATAAATGCAAGTTGGTTGCCAAATGCCTGAAATGCAATCGTGTGAGAGCGTTGAGGTGGCAGACAAAGCTTTTTAAAGAGTTCATTGTAATTCCGAACACTCATAAAATGACTACTCATAAATAAAGGATTACCTGTCAATAGGAGTTGTTTTTGATTCACTATACAATAATGAAGTTAATATTTATTCCATATTTAGTTCTTGCTGTACTTAAGTTTGCTTGTTTGATTTGCCTAGCCTCAGCATCTGTTAGATTTGTCTGTGCCTAAAGTTGAAATCTTCTGTGCTGAAAGGATATATATATCACCTAAAATTTGGCATTGTAGTTTGATTTTCTTCAAAATATTTTTTTCATAGATTCTGTATAAATGATTATCCTGAAGATATTTATTTGGCTCAGAGATTTTCTCCTCCAGATTTAATGACTAACTTGATTGGTAAAATATGGGCTATTTCAGATTTTATTTTATACAAAGAAAAATGTTCCAAATGTTTAACGTTGAGGTGGCATTGTAGAAAGAGAGCCATCCTAATCCTGGTAGGAAAAAAAAATCAAGAGCAGAAGCTTCTTTTCCAGATAACAAATTTTATTAAAAGGCATAAGCTTTCATGAGCTTCACCTTGCTTCATCTACTACATGGAATGGCTAATACAGCTTTTATACAATATAATGTGTTAAAGTCAGAAAAGCTGCTACCAACCTCATTTCCATTAAAGTGGCAATGTTTGTGATCTGTCAGAAAAGATTTAATTTTACAGAACTGCTTTAAGATTTACTTTCATTAACAGATTATGTATCACTGAAGATGTTGGTTTCTAGAGAAGTTTGGAGCTTTAGTTTTGAAGGGACACAGTAGGTTTGGAGCAAGTAGTAGTCCAGATGTAGCATCTCTCCTTTTAAAGAAGCTGCATCTTTTCCTAAGATCGCACTGTTGCAGCACCATCCTCAGAAAAGACTCATTTGGTTTAAGAACTTGTCTATAGGTGCTAAGCCTGCACCCTCGGCACTCCGAAACACCCTTTTGTCTTTGAATCCAAACCTGTGCCCAGCCTATTAATTTCATTACCTTTACTCATCTTGCAGATGACTATGTGGTTGAAGTATATGTTGTTGATATAGGTGATTGCTATTTTTATTTTATATACATACCCTGATTTTTTGTTTGTTTTTAAGTCCTTCAGCTAGAACTAGTTTCCATTTGGTTAAGACAGGTGATGTAAAGGAGCAGACTTGATTGTTCATTCTCCAGATTTTCTTTCCCCAACTTGGTACCCACCAGTTGGGTTGGGGTTGCAGATACTAAAATTCCCAGCCAGCATGGTGAAGCTGGCAGACATTCTGTGACTTGTAGGTGAGGGCTCAATGTGTATTTTATTTAGTATTGGGTTTAATTCCGTTTTATCTTCTCAAAACAATAAACTGTCAGACAAATTGTTCTTAATGTGCAATATCTCTTTGCTTACAGCAGTTGCCAGTCAAATTAAGATAATTGTAATTAATGTTACCGTTGTAATACCAATTGTTTTTAAAAAGGAGATGCAGTAAAAGATAAAGAGATCATCCAGTGTTCATATAGATATTTTCATTTTGTCTTCTTTCAAATGCACATGCCATTCTTCGTAAATGTCTTCAAACTTCCTGGGTGATTCTTGGCACTTTCATATCCAAGAATAAACCAAGTATTGGTTTTGGTTTTTTTAGATTGGCCAAAGCTGGACATCGCACAGAAAATCTACATACTTAGAGAAATTTACATTTGTCTATACATACTGTAGCAGGATTGTTTTATTAAGGTTTCATATCTATATTAGGCAGGAGACATTTTGGACAAAGAGATATTTGAATTTGATAAATGGCATGCTGTTATTTTCTTTACTTTGCAGGGACAATATAGACCTTCTGATTTACTATGTCCAGAGACATATACTTGGATACCCCTTGAGCAGTGTCTACCTTCTCTTGAGCGTTCAAAATATTCTCGCCTCAATCAAGACTTAAAAATAGGTAGGTACTTAATTTAAGTCCATTGGAACTTTTGCAGACACCTTCAGAGTGTCTGTTATCAGTCTATATAATGTATAAGGCTTCTAAAATTCCTTTAGAATTTTTCACAAGCTTTTATGTTACTTAAGAAAAAATCCTGTGGTCCATTTCATATATTCACCGGTGTCAAGTGCTCAAATAATATGATGGTAATGAAGTAATGGAAACATATACATATAGTCTCGGCGAGCAAACCCTTCCATAGGAATGCCGTGTGAAATATTTGTATCCTATGCAATGTGACATTTTGTGTAAAAATAAAATATTTGTAAGAGGTAGTGTGAGGAAGTGGGAAGAATTTATGCTTTCCACTATTGCACTATTTCATTATCTGTTCCTGAGGAATATATGAATTAGGGTACAGTCTCACATTATATGGTATTATAGATCTAAAGAAAAATAGGCTTCTCTTTGAAAGGCCCTGTTTGTGTCCTACACAATAGTTTTATGCTTCTTTAAAATGTGAGGCTTTTCCTGGCATTGATTTTTAGGCAAAAACCTATTGCTTTCTAGATTATTTTGTTATAGAAGTAAATGGTTCTTTTTATAAATATAAAAGTGCTTATTTGTGTCTGAATACTTTATCCAGAAGAAAGTAAATCAATTTATAATTGGTCAGAGTTGTTTTTCATGCTGTTTTCCTTGAACAGTACAGCATGTTATGAGGAGATTTCTGACTTTGGCTGATCTGTAAAGCCTGAATTGAGTCTGAGATTAAAACAATGCCAAAATACGCCTTGCATGTAAGAAGAAGATTACACTGCTTTATAAATTGAATTCAAACAAAACCATCTGACTATGAGACAGACAAAATGCTGCTTTGAATAGGTGTTCTAGAAAAGATTGCTAAAATGAAGGAACTAATACCCAAATAACAATAGCGACCTTATCTTAAAGAATTTGAATGTTTGTACCAATTCCACTTCAATATAATAAATATAAAAGTCTGCCTCTTTATCCATAGTGAATATATAAGTCCAGATACAATATGAATTCAAGCTTGGGTCCTGTGGCTTAAGGAAATTAAAATATAATGCCTGCTGTGAATGAGAGTCATCAAGGTTTGTACAGCTACTAGCATGAAGGAAGCAGTTCACCATTCCAGAGCTTGTCACCTGCAGAATACCTTCTTTACAGACATCAGTTTTTTAAAAAGGCCTTTAATTACAATTTAATGAATATTGGCTTAGACAGACAGTGATATGCTCTGTTTCACATGCTATAGTTTGCTATAACAATTTGTGTTATGCAATTGAGTTTGCATAACAGAGTTTGCTAGACCACCCAATTCATAAAATAGTTGCCAGAATTGAACAATGTAAGAGGACAGAGTTCATATGTTCCTATTATCAATAGCTGTAAATGTAAATGACCACCAGCTTACTTTGTTTCAAAAATAATGTATCTTTTACTGAATCTGGTGAGATAAAAATATTATTTATTCTAATAGTGATACTTGTTAGCTACCTTTGGAAGAATTCTTTAGCAATATTCATTTATTGGTGATCATTTCTTCAGACCTATCACACCATAATCTATCATGCCAAAACTTGATTTTATGGATGTATATCAGTATAGCAGATAGTGATGAAAATCTATTGCTGTAATGGCTAGCACGGATCTTCTCACTTTTTTCAGATTGGAAATTGATTTGGCTTTTTAGTGGGACATAAGAGCTAGTGAGTGAAGCCAAGGGCTGGCTGGCTGACTGACTGTCTCTCTCTCTCTCTTTCTCTCTCTCTTTAATTAAACTTTTTAAAAATTAAAGATAATTAATATGATAACTCGCTTAAGTTCATGTTGAATAATTGGCTCCTTCTATCAGCCTAAAACCAACCATCTCGAAATACATTTTAGAGAGTTCTACTGCCTTATAATTTTCAGAGGTATCATGCAACTAGAGATAGTAGACTTCTTGTTTAAGCAGTTCACATACACTTCCTTGTTCTAGTATTAAAATGCCTTTTAAACAGCTACGTGCTGGGAAAAAATGAAAAGGATTATCTCTATAACACAAAGCAAACATCATCCTCACTAGTTTGGATTTAAACACCAGTTATTTTAACATAAATGTAGCCAATTGGTACTAATTGTATTTTGCTTTTTACTTTGCAAATTGCAAGACATATATTCATAGAAGCCAAATAAATAAAATAATTTTGTAGTCCCAGCTAGTACTGAACAGACTGTGCAATGTTCTTCAGACTTTTAAGATGAAAAGAATTATCATATAGTGGTACTTAACCTTTTAAAGCTTATGTGATTGTGAAGCAGACATGAGCATAATGCAGGAATAAGATCTACAGAACAAATAGTTCTATATGCTTGTAAAAGATTGGTTATGATTTTCTAGCATTGTTTTATTTGCTTCTCTTTTATAAAGAAGCAAATTACAGTTGTCCATTGAAAAGATAATATAGGCTGCATGATTGTTACTATAGTTATAATATAATAATAAAACATATATGTTCATATATATTGATGTAACCAGCAAGATTTTACACGCCCTTTAATAAGCCAAGGTATATCCCAAAGTACTTAAGAATTTATTGTAAATAAATTTTATTTTTAATAAACAAATTTTTAATAAACAATATATTGATACTGTATTTGTAATGGATAGGTTTGAAGCAACGCTTTGAAAGTTATGAAGCAGACTTATTTTCTCATAGTTGTTAACAAAACGTAGAAGGTTATTGTTCCATGAGTTACAGAAGACAGAAAATGTGTTGATTTATTCCCAGAATTGCTTTAGTTTCTTACATTTTGGATCTTGCATCTGTTCTTAATTAACTTTATAAACACTTGAAGGCATTTGAAGTTCACAGTCCAACATGATTCTTGAACATAAAATATGTTTAAACAGTACAGATAGTGCTAATGAGCTGTATCCAAATTTGTCAACTGAATTTTAGTATATGCAAGGAAACCCTAATAAGTAGATGAATCACTGATGTTCAATAATTCTAGCTATGCTGTGATATTAAAAAAAGAAAACATTTTTATCTGAACAAAGAATGTTTGTTATGTAAGCAGAAACATGTTAATCTTTGCTAATAGATAATTCTTCTCCAAATAAATGGAAGCATGTTTATGATGATTATAATTTTTTAAGATTTCAGTTTCCCATCAACTAGAAGGGCGGGAAAATGGAATTAGTTTTAGAGTAACATTTATTGTGTTCATAGGATGAAGTCTAAAACCATTTCTTAGGAAACAAAACTATGTCGAAAGTCTAAATGTCACTTCAACATTACAATGCTATATATTCCACGGGATGATAGATGACTGACTTTAGCCTAATGCTCCTAATGTATATTCTTGAAAAGGCATTCTTTAAAGACGTATTACACAAAAGTGGTGCTGGAACTACCTATATTGTGTTTTGCATATACAGTACTGATCGTGCAGGATGGGTTTCTCAACAGTGCTCTATATTTTGCTCCTAGCTGACTTGTCATGAGCCTGATAATCTGCTATCCAGAAGCTATATTCAATAATTAGTACCATGTTTCTCTTTAAACATAACCCACCCCAAAAAGAAGGGCCAGCACTGTTTTGTGCCCATGCATTAAAATTAAGCCCTACCCCCAAAATTTGGTCCTAATTAAGTGCATGCGTGGTCAGGCTTGCCGGAGTGGACGACGCAGGGGTTTTCGTGTAGACGGCTACCGGTAGTTAGAGTGACCATTACAGGTAGGCAAGGGTGTGTGAGGCTTGTGTCGTGTTGTTTGCTCTTTTCGGCCGCGAAAGAAGTGGCCAGACGAGCGCATGGGAGAAAATGTAACACATCCCTTGAAAAGAAGGTCTAGCCGTTTTTTCGGGGGTCAAAAGAAAATAATACTCAGTTGTATTTTCGAAGAAAAACAGTACTTATTACATATCCATATCCAGCCCACGGGGCGCTTAGATCTGGCCTGCAGGGACACCCTGGAAACAGCGAAGGACTGGCCCGTGGTGCCTCTGCCAGTGAAAACAGAGTTTTGAAGGGCCATGTGTGGCCCTTGCAAGCTCCGTTTTTGCTGGCAGAAGGTTGCAGAAGGCCATTCAAAAATGGAGCTTGGGAGCTCGTTTTCTGGCAGAGCGCTCGGGCCACCAAAGGTGCCCTGACACAAGTTATGTCGAGCTGGCCACACCCACTCTGGCCATGCCTACCCTGACCCCCCAAGGTCAAACACAACCCTGATGCGGCCCTCAATGAAATCGAGTTTGACACCCCTGATCTAAAGCATATTATCTTATCCTGAGTCCACATAGTAAGGCAAAAGAAATGAACCAACAACTCAGATTAAAAAATCAGCCAAGAATGCTTAAAAGCAGACAACAGCATAGCTTAGAGTTCAGTCAACAAAGTGCAATATACAAACTGTCAGGCTCAAAGAAGAGTCAAGAGTTTGCAACAATATTAAGTAAGGTTTGGAATCAAATAACAAACTTGTTTCAGGATTTGACTGCCTCCAGACAGAGGCTTAATTGCTGCAAATTCAAATATTGGACTCTTCATTAATTATATTCTATAGTACCTTCATCCAAAAGGGTTCTTCCAAGCAGTTAAGTATTTCTTTGTTTCTATCCTTTGCTCTATATGCCGTAGTATCAAAGTTCCCCCAAATTTAAGAAACCATCTTTTACTGTCCCAGCTTGTTAACCTTGAACTTCTCCAGGATTGGACAGATGAGGATAGTGGAAGATAAATTACTGATGTCTCAAGGTTAGGCTTTGGTGCCACCAGATCTTAACATTCCTTACTCTTTCTCTGTTCTAACTCTTTTTCCCTGGACAGAGATTTATCCAGACAATGTTAACTTTCATATTATTAAAATATATATATTGTACAAAACATCTATCATGAAAAATGATTAATCTGAATTTAAAAAGTAGTATAGTATGCTGTATATATACTTCATGGTATGTACTTGTAAAATTGATCCTGACAGATCAGTATTATTGCCTGGAAATGCCAGAACCATTTATACGGTAATCAAGAATTATATCATTTTGATGTGTCATTCTTTAACAGCTGTAAAGGGTTTTTAGATTCCGTTATATTCAGTTAAAGCCATTCTGTTTAAGGGTTACAATAAAGTGATTTTTTTTCTTTCGACTGGTTCTTGGCATTAAAACAATAACTGAATTCAAACTGACTAAATAACTAGTACTGTTGCTGTGACAGGAACTCTTATTTGCTTTTTTGAGATTAGTTTATACATAAATCTATATTAAAAGAGTGTGGTAGCATTATTTAACTTGACGGGGGTGGTTTAGTACTTTTCGATTGCTTTTTATTCTGAAATTTATAGTTTTTTAAAGACGAGCTAGATAGCAGTCTTTTAAAAAGGGAATAATCTGTTAAAATTCTGGATTAAAATTATTACTTTTGTATATATGTATATATGTTTATCTACTAATTGCAGATGTTCCAAAACCTTCGACATGATTTCTATTAGTCTGTTTTTTATTATTATGGATCTACTTGGTTCTTTTCCTGGAATTTCAAGATCCAATAATTAAATTCCAAATGTAACACCACATGACTGTGCCTGATTTTACCATTCTTTTTTTTTTTTTACAGTAATGGTTAAGTGAAATAGACAGTCATTAAATGAACCAATTGTATCCAAAGGGTTTTTTTTTTTTTTTGCCAGAAAACAAAAGTAAATGTCAAAAATCTGTAAAAAATGTATAAATCACAATCATGTAACTGCAGGATGCTGCAAAAGGCCATAAATGAGAGCAAATTATCACATGGACAAAATGTGATCACATGACCATAGGAAGTATGCAGCCATTGAAACTTCAAAATTGGGTTTTAAGTAACCCGGGGGAGGGGGAGGTTGTATACTTTATACAATCGCTAAGTGACTGGTTGTTAAGCTAGAACTACCTGTAAGTGATATACATACATAAACAAACAAATAAATGTTGCACTGGGTATGTTGAATGGAGAACACAAATTACTTTTTGAAATGCACATATGACTCCTGGAACACTTCAAGGAGAGCAGAATGAACTGCCACTAAATAGTTAAAGCACAAAATGTTTTGTACATCTCTATTTTTAATGTTTATTTTAGTATTTTAACTATTCACCTATTACAATTGCGGCTTTAACAAAGGATATCTTTGTGAGAACAGCATAAAACATTTTTTTAAAGAATGAACTGGCACTAAATAGTTAAAGTACAAAATGTTTTATACATCTCTATTTTTAATGTTTATTTCAACTATTATTCACCTATTACAATTGTGGCTTTAACAAAGGATAATTTTGTGAGAGCAGCATAAAACATTTTTTGAAAAAATGAAGCCAGAGGCTATCACTGAGGACCTTCTAGTGTGAACTATTTGTGGTCTTAGCTACTATCTGTATGATCTTTATTAAGTGATGGTATTATACTCAGAGTGGCTGCATTTACCCATAATGCTGACATAATCCTTTAAATTATGGTTGCTGGAACAAATGGTTTATACTAGTAGTACAAACATAATGCAAAGCCACAATGGGGAGTTAATCCATTATTTTAACTAAACCCAAATAAATTACATAATATAGAAATGGGTTGTGTTATAATACTGACTCTTTGTGTAGTCAGCCAGTCTCAACTTGAATGGACTTTGCATTGCAGTTCTAGAATTTAAAAAGTGTATCCTGTGGGCATATATAGCCTGCCAGTGGCTATTGTGTGATTATCGGAGCTCCCATATAATGTTGACTTTTCCTACTGTATATATTTGGATTGGACGTCAAGTGTATTTTATTCATGAAAAACACACAAAAATGAGTAATATTTTAAAGTGTGGCTCTTGACATAGTACGCAATCTCGTGCAACCCTCCAGGGTAGTGTTCTGACTCCCTTCTCAGATAGTTTCTTATGAAGTAGCAAGCCTGATGATTAGTTAGTTGCTTAAGTATGGCTAATGAGGAGCCATATGGTCAAGGCTCTGGTCTGGTTACACAGTTGTGACTAAATATCTATCTTGACAATAAGAATACAAAATTATGATTAAAAGATTGAAGGAAGCAGTGGGGGGATCTACTATTAGTCCATCAACCAACTCAAAAAAAGATGCTTGCTGGTCTTTACAGTATCTTGCTTACTTGATGTAAGCTACTAGCTCATATTTATACTTCTTTCTGTCTTTGTTTGCCATATAAATCCTGGTGATGAAGTATTAAGGCGATAATTAATTACTTTCAGAAAAGCATTTCCTGGCAAAGTCTTGCATGGACAAATTTAAATAAGTAATACTTCCTTCATGCGGTTAATGTATATTTGTAATTACCTTGTACATGATCCATAAATAATTAAGACACCTGAACCTGAATTGAAATTATAATTTGTGCAATTTTAATTTGACACAGTCTGTTCTTTAGAGGTTGTAACACACGAGAGAGGGGGGGAGAGAGGGAGAGAGAGAGAGCACTACCTGCATCAAAAACAATTTCTTAAGGATTTGGAGCGTATAAGTCAATTTATACTGATATTAACTGAGTATAACATAAATTTAATTAATAAATAAATAAAAATAACATTTACACCAGAAAATAGTGGAAACTAAAAAAAAAAAATAGGCAGGTGGAATTGGGATTAGAGTTTTTGCAACTGGATAGATGTGGATTGCAGATTTAGCAATCTCATTTTCATTTTATCTTTGTTTATTTCAATGGTTTTTGTTTGTTTTCTTAATTTATTTGGTGATACTTATGTAAAAGATTTCTACTTATTATTCAGAGAGGTACCCAGAATTCAATTAAAGACAACTATGAAAATTGTATGACATACGGACCATAGTTAAATCAGATTTTATTGTAGTAGACATAATTTCTCTTGCTTCTGATGAAAGGCAGACATGCAAGTTTGAAGAACACAGGCAAATTCTAAAAAATAGTTATATGGCAGAATCTAATAAAGTCAACAAAATCTGGATCAAGGAGCAGTTAAAATAAGAAAGAAATGCTTCTCTAATGTCCAATTTCAATGTTTGGTAAAAGTAATAGGATTGGAAAATATGAGTCTTGAATTAGGGTGGGACTTTGTGGGTGTTTGTTGGTACCAGAAGTATTCAGGTTGCAGCTCATATTTTACCTAAGGTTAAATAACTCTTCTGATTCTTTCTAAGAACTTAAACTCATTTTATGATGAACCTATATTCCAGAATTGAACTTGAAACTGAAATTCTTTGCAGAATGTCCCCCAAAATTTTTAACCAAAGGAATAGAAATACATAAACCTGATAGAACATTAGAAAAATATTGTCTTCACAAAGGCTAATGGTTCAAAAAGCCACTAACAAGTAGAGTCACTGTTGAGGATTTGATTGCATTTGTCAATATTAAAGAAAAAGTAAATTTGGACTTGTTGAACAACACACAACATGGAGCCTTATGTTCCTTTATGTTTTGTTATGTTTGAAACAAAATGAATAAGTAGTGATTAAAGGATGCTGTGCTTTGCACATAGATATCCATATCCTGAAGCATTCTCAAGGAAAAAAGGAGTCTCAATTCTACTGCTATAATGAAGAGGCTAGAGAAAGTTGGCATTGTTTTGAGACAAAACTTTTCCTACTGATATAAGCTGCCAGTTTCCCATAACAAACTTGTACAATAATTTGAGATTATCAAGTGTTTGGATTCAGTCCACTTTCTGTTGATTTGTGTGCTTTTATAAACATGGCTTAAAGTAGGAGGCCTTTCCATTCATGCTTTATATTATTGCATCAATTCAGCCTATTTTATAAAAATGTCTCCAGATAAATTGTGAAATGAGTTTCAAAGGTCTTAAAATCCTAGTTATAATTTGTTTAAAAATCTATTTTTTTCTTAATCAAATATATAAATATTTCTTAGTAACAGATGTTTAGTGTTAAATTTAACAATGGAAAACATCATGTTTTCGGTTATTGCTTGTTTCTTGAAATCTCTTATACAACTATTTAAATTTTGTTCTGCATTATAATCCATTTTATAAACAATTGTAAAATGGCACCGATACTATAATTACTTTATTCAGTAATAATAAATAATGTTTTGACATAAAAAGTGCAAGCCTACTATGGTTTTATAGGAAAGGTAAAAAAAGACTAACTCCAAATGGGAAGGTTTTATGTCACAGGATAATGGGATATGACCAGTAGTGGGCTCCAAATTTTTTAACAACCAATTCTCTGTCCTAATGACTGACTGGTGGGGTGGGGTCATGTGACTGAGTGAGCGTGGCCACCTCTACATCACTTGTGTGGATGATACCTGTATGGGACAGGCAGGATTGGGGAGGGGATCCAGGGGGGTCCGGGGGGGGGGGGGGGGAGGAAAGAAAAAATCCAACCTGTTTGTGTGTGTGCATATGTGTGTGTGTGTGTGAGAGAGAGAGAGAGAGAGAGAAACTGCATCAAACTAGACTGGGAAAGCTGGCTGTGAGAGGAATAGAAGCTGGGTAAGCTGGACCCAGACGCTTCCCATCTGGGTCTGGTTTACCCAGCTTCCCTTCCTCTCGCAGCCAGCTTTTTGGGGCCATTTTTTTGGGCCAATTTCAAGCCTTTTGGGGGGCCATTTTCAGGCTATTTTCAGGATGTTATATGGCTTCCTATATTTAAACTATACTTTGTAACTATACAAAGTAGAGTTTAAGTATACATTACTATATTTTGTAATGTGTGTGGTTTCCTATACTTATACTGAATAGAACTAATTCAGAGAAGTCCATAAGGCTGTGATCACGCTGTTTACGAAAATCAGGCTTGAAGCTGAAAACCAAGATTAATTCACAGGTCCGGTATTTTAAGTTTCTTCCATATGATGCACTTTCTAAACATAAAATTGCTGCCCTGATGTCATCTCAATTGATGTCATCTCAAAAAAACAAAACAAAAACCTAACATGTTCATTTTCATTTAGCCATTGCAGTTTGTTAATATTTCTGTTTTCTTTTTCAGCTGATGAAGGGATGATAAAGGAACTTGATCAAGTTAAGGTTCTCCATAAGAGATCAGTTATGCCTTACAGGATGTATAAGAGAAATCGAAAAGGACCAAGCGATGAAGAAACTGTACAGCAATATGCAGGTCTCGTGGGACAGGCATGTTCAGAGAGGATGTTGCTTTTTCGGAGCTGAATATCATTCTGTAGATGTTCCAGAATGACTTTTTATCATACTAATGCAAGATTACATATCTCTGCTGTTTTCTGTTGTTATGCCTATTGAATACGCACTGTGTACCTTTTTCTGCCTGGGAATGAACATATTGACAAACTTTAGCATAAAACATTGATTTTGAGTCTTTATATTAAGGCTTTGTCAGAATATTACAATGACTGAGTTCATGAGATTAAAGTCCTTACATTTTCAAATAAGTGAATGGGATGAGTATAAAATTGAGTGGAACATTTGAAGGGTGGGGGGAGTAGCATTTTGTAGGTATTTGGTAAAGATAATATTTAAAATCAACTGGGTGATGAAATATAAGTTGTTGTGAAATGTATAAATATTTCAGAAATTTTATATTTTCTTTGACTACTGTCAGATAATTAAATATTTTGTTCTAGTATTATTTCAGAATTCAGTTAACCAGATACTTGTAAGTAAGCAAATGTTTTGCACTATGCTTCAGTGGGAAAACCCAACCTCTGTCTAGTAGAGTTGGTGCCTAGGATTGCTATTATATCATATAATATAAAGCCATCTAATGTGTATCTATGCACTGCATCTTTCAAATTATTCACTGCAATCTTTTAAATGTTTGCTTTAAATAACATATAATTGTATTGAAATAACCAGGAAGTTTGATGATTTAGGGTTTTTTTTTGTAATTGACGCTTTGGGAAAGGTTGAAATTGAAATGTTTATCAAATTACCAAAGAAATTAATTTAAAAATGTAGATTAAAACTCCATTGAAGTACATCCCATTTTTTGTTTTGTTTTATATTCTTAATGTTTATATCGATTGTAGTACTCAGAGAATAAGTTTGCAATACACCATTAAAAATCCTTCATTTCTCACTGAGCAATGTTTTAACTAAGTATTCAGAACTTTTGATGTTATCCATTCTGTATTTTAAGATGTAAAATAGAAGGCTATGAAATTCAACATTCTGCGCTCAGTTGATGTTTTTCAGACAACTTTGATCAATATTTGTCTCTATCTAATACAGCAGGACAGCAGAACGTAAAAACCCAGTTATGTGCTTAGATTTTTCCTCTAGTTTGGGATGAAATAATAGTATGCATGGAAACAGCCTTCATTCAGAGATTCTTGCAAGCATGCAGTAGTGAATGCTATATGTTCACTGAAATGCATACATGTTTAGTTAAATATACTGATAAGTTGTCAGGTTGTAGTTTTAACATTATCAGCCATTATTTTGGGAAGGAGAAATATCACACATTTTCTTAATTTTATTCCTGCATCCACACAAGGTTTGGCATGATCTTTGAACCTAGTACCAGCCAGTAGCAGTGTGATCCATGAAAGTATGGATGCCCTATATGATTATTCTTTCTTTTGAAAGTAACATTTCTTTTTTTCCCTACATAGTTATTTTTATACATGCAGATTTTACCCAGAACAAATTATTTGTCTCTTATAATTATTTTGAATGCTTTTCAGCTGTGTCTAAAATAAGATCTATTTTTTTTTGAAGTTCAGTCAGACTTAGTCGTATGTAGAATAAATTTACTGAAATCAATACAACATTAATCCCATTGCTGTTTTATTTTACAGATCACAGAATACAATCTGATAGTATTTGATCAGTGGTGCGATTCTACTAGTTCGCACCAGTTCGGGTGAACCTTTAGCTCTGACTTTCAGCCATGAGCGAACCGCTTCGCTCCGACTTTGAAGTGGGCCCACCTGCCCACCCCTGCTTTATACTCACCTACATTTCCGTTTCCGAAGCCTAGCTGATTGGCGCGGCAGAGTGGATTGCCGCGCCTCATCTGTTTTCCTCTCCGGCTGCAATGCAGAAGGTGACTTTTCTTGAAACTGCGCACGCATGCACAGTGCATGTCTGGCGCATGCGCGCTCAGCGAACCAGTTGTTAAACCGGTAGGATTCCACCACTGGTATTTGATCTAGCATATAGAGTTTAAATAACATACCTAAATGTAAAATATGGGAAGCAAAATACGTATTATTAAGGTAACATGTAATCTGACCTGGATTAATCTTGCATGGATATCATACTCAGAATTTCTGGTTGGAAGATTTGACTGTCTCTTTATTTCTCCCCAAACAACCAAAGGACCCATGCTTTGGAGCAATTAGATAATTACAGTTAGGCTGTGTATTTTTTATCCAAATAAAATAAAATAATAAAGTAAAAATAATTAACTACATATTCAATTGCCACTAGGGGGCATATTCCAACTTGAAAATCAGTAATATATTGTTTGCCATTTCAACAGTATTCATTATTATTCTACATCTGGTTTCCCGCCACTTTTTTTTTTTTTAATCCTGGAAATCTTGATAAAGAAACCATTATTGGAGTCAACATGTACAGTCATAAAATAGTGGAGAGTCAGTAGAATAAAAATATGTAATTGATATAAAAGCTAAATATTATTTTGTTTGAACAAAACAACAAAAATATTTGAGCCACCAAAAGAACACTGAATAAAGCATGTCAATGTATCTAGGATTCAATGAATATAGTACTTCCATTCTCTTGCTTTTGTTTATGCTTGTTCATTCAAGTATTTCAGTTTTGTGCCACAGTAGTTCCCATTGATAAAAAAAAAGCTGGTTATTTTTTTTTTTTTGGTGACATCTCTCTTCTGCAACTAGAGGACTAACACTGAAATGGAAAAAGAGTATTCTCAATAGTATCTTTATAAACAGAGATTATACATTAATGTGGTGTTTTGGGTCATTGTTGGCAAACTGGAATTGCTTCTGTGAACATGCTGTGATGATTTAAAAAACTGCTCCTTACCTAAATGAGGGATTCATGCTGGCTGGGGGTGATAGAGGCTAGTTATAAAGCCATAATATAGAACAAAATTGTTCTGTTCCAAAAAATAGGCCTGAGGGATTATTTCCACCACTAAACTGCTGACAACACATATGTTTACATCTTGTACTATTTGAAAAGTAAAATGAAATAACTGCTTAATAAACAGGAGTATGTTGGATAGGGGCCAGAATATCTGAAAGACTGCTAATTCTTGTATGAGCCTGCTTGTAAAGTATGTAACAGGATTATGATTCTGCTACTATGAAACTCCCAAGAAAAAAAGTCAGACTTCCTTTTTCCAATATGTGGTAGACACGTTGCTTTACTCCCTTCCCAAAATCAAATTTTATTAGTTGGTGAGGGTCTTTAATTATTACTGTTCCATGTTTTAATTAAAATTTTATTCTACTTTAAGTCTATTATAGAGTTATACTTAAAAGTGTGTGAGAGATGTATGTTTAGTGAAGAGAGTGTGTGCTTGAGGACTAGCTTAAATAGAATATCTATTTTTATCGAATGTTAACAAAAGATACAGGACCTGTCAAGACATTTAAATAGAAGCTATTATTTATTTTTACTTCACTTGAACAGAAAGATGAGAACTGTCAGCTAAATTGTAATTTAATATGTGAGGTTCCCATTAAATGTTATTTTCGAAAAAGAACTTTGAAGGTGAAGACTTGTAAATATCATTTGTGGTTCATCATTTCCATTAATATTTTTCAAACAATATGGGTTACACATTACCTATTAATCAAAGCTGTTGCTCAAGTTGCAATATAATCTTTGTCCACTCTTGCTCTTAAACAGAAAGATACCAAGTATATACTCAGTATTTTGGTGAATTCCAAATATTAAAAAGCCATCAATTTGAAATTTTGCATAAACATTTAATGTGGGTAGGTGTTAAATATCAAACGCTTTTCCACTAAATCTAGTCAAAAATTACACACAGCCAATATAACATAGCGTAATATGTTTTTAATCTCTAAATCTCATCTCTCAAATATCAAACTCAAACTGTATAGTCAGTACTCACTCTCAATGTAAAGCATTTGTCAAACAATCAGAAATATTTTAAGATATGGATTTTAAACAATTTTTGTGAAAACACATGTCAAAAGGAAATGTTTCAAGTAAATGTGCTTGGGGACTCCCTCCATACCAACAATAGTCATAAATATATACTATTTGCACTTTTTTCTGGTTCCTTGGAGATTATTCTTACACATCTGTAATTACCTAGTGAGATTTGAAATTGTCCCAGTAAAGAAAAATCGGAACTGAAAACACTCATAAATGGATTAATATATATTTTATTGTCTACTATCATTATGTATACTTATAGAGAATTGTAATATGCTAAATCATGACAAATGTCCAAAAGAAGGATACTTAAGAAAATCCATTAGATAGCAAGCTGTGCTATTTTGAGTAAAATGTTCTAATGGTGACTAGCAACTTTCTCTGAAACTTGAAAGTGTGAAAATGTTTTCTGTGAACTTGAAATCATAACTGGGACTGATAATAAAGTACATCATATCCCCAACTTCTAAACGCCGAGTAAATACAATTGTTTACATTTTTTGTTCATCTTTCCTCTAAAACTTATTTGTTTGAAGAACTGTGAGTGTAAAGCAAGATTCAATAATAAAATATGCTTTACACGCTAATTGAGCAAAACAAGAAATCAAAAAGAAAAACCTCAAACAGTTCAGTAAGAATTGAGCAAATGCTAACAATTATGTAGCATTTGTATGTGGCATTATATACCACAAACAAGAAATATGCTACAATAGTTCCTGAAAGCACCATTTGCAAATTAGGAAAATGTAGGAATTAGGAAAAATTAGGAATTTGGAATATTAAAAGAATTTTCGATGAAAGGTCCTTCTGGGATACTCAATCAAAAACCTGAAGCAATGGGGGGTATTTTGCTATTTTTCTTACATAATATTATGAATCATACATTTCCAAAAATAAAGATATTTCTGTGATGTTCAGGAATAAATAATGATACTTTAAAATAAGGGATGCAGTTTCACATGAGGAAAGATTGGAATGCTGGGGCCTGGTGATATTAAAACTGGTACGTTTTATGGCATTTGACAGAGTAATGTACATGGCAAGACTGAAATTATTTTAATATAACTGTTACCATTGGATGAAATAACAGATGGAAGAAAAAGCAGAAAAGCAACCATGAATGGATGTATCTTGCAGTAGACTTATAGCCTGTAGGGAATTAGTTAGAATTGTTTTGCAGGTGAAAGAATAATGCAAATTATTTAATGGGAAGAGGAGATTGTCTCATTTGTGTCAGATGAAAACGGGGGCATCTGGGGCTCCTGTTTTTTATTGTTCATGCTGATCTCTCATAGCTTATAATTGGAAATCTATTCTTTATCACAATTCATACTGAGAAAGGTCTTGAATTTACATTCTGCAATTCTGTGCCATCAGTGACTGAAGTCTTCTTCAGGCACTCAAAAAGTAAAAAGATTGTATAAAAGCAAGCATTTTCTATCCACACTACAATCCTCATTCTTACTGCTTATTTTGCATATGTAACAACTGAAACTGAGAGACTCTGACCCTGGAGACTCAGCAAAAACAAATTTTGTTACTTAAAAATAAGCTGTTGGAATCTAAATCTTTCTCTCTACAGGACCAAATTATTCATGTAATGGTACTTCGTAACATTTCCTGTCTAGATGACCTCCTTTTTCTATATTTATATTCCCAGACCAATAAAACAGTTATAAATGTTAAAAATACAGAAAAACCAAAGCCAAAATGAAGAGGGTGCAGACTGATTTCTGCATGCCATAGTCATTGATAAAAACTTCACACGCTACTTAGGATCTTAGGAAATTTGCTAATATACAAATAAGGATTAAAGGTAAATGTAATAGAGACTTCATCAAGATACCGAAATCTCTG